TTAAGTAACACGCCCAAGGTCACATAGCTGCTGGGTGGTGAAGCCAGGATTCAGATCCAGACAGTCTGCCTCCAGCAACTGTGCTCTTAACTACTGTGCTTTATAGAGGCCAAGTCTCAGATTGTGTCAGCAGGAAGACAGAAACATAGTTACCCCAATGTTTTGATTCCTTTTGCTTGAAGGAAATGAGAGAGTGTTTATGCTAGAGGAACCATTTTTGAGAATTTATGCCACAAAAGTTGGTACAAGGAAGGAAAGTTCTATAATATCTGAAAACAGCTTGAGGAATCTGGCAATTTTAACAGTGGGGAATCACCAAAGAAGGTCAACCCACCCCTTTACTAAAACCACTTTGTCCACTGAGGAAGAGGAGGAGAAGAGAAATAGAATCTCTTACACATGCACATCGTTTTACCATTTACAAAGCACTCTCACATGTGTTATCCAATTTGAACCCTCCCAAAACCCTGAAAGAGGCAGAACAAGATGCCCATTTCACAGGGGAGAGGTTCAGGGTTAGGGAGGTGAGTGACCTCCCCACCCCAAGGTCTCAAAGCTGGTCTCACTCACACCCAAGTCTTCTCATTCCTGATCCATTGTCCTTACCCTGCACAGAGCCACTAAGGGCTTTGCTGGAGGTACATCTGGATAAAAGTTCACATTCAGACCCACTCTCAAATGCTGGGGCGAGGTAGCTGAGGTGCGTTTTGCAGGGCAAAGGCTTCCATGGCCTGGGAATCTCCCCAAGGATAAGCTTCCTGGTGCTTTCTCCCACCCTGCAGTGTCCTCTCCATCCTAACCACATTGCGGACTCAGCTTCTGGCCTTTGGTTGTCTCCTGGCCTCCTTCAACTGAGGCTCCCCCTTTCTGCTGGTTTGTGTACCCAAATCTCCCTTGCCTCCCTTCCCCGTTCCTTCTCCCTGGTTCTCAGACATCCTAAATGTGTGCTTCCCTCATTCACATTGGCCTCCAAGGCTCTCCACCCAAATGCTCCACCCGGCAGTAGATCTCTCTCACCCCAAAGCAGAACTGTGTCTGCTCACCAGCAGTTTCACGCGTCACCTCCATTTCTCTCCACTAGTCTCTATTTCTATTTTTATCTCCTCTTTTACTTGCTTGATTTAGTACTGCCTCCTTTCTTTCTTCTGCCCTATACCACATCCCTGGAAGCCTCTTTCACCTGCTTTGAAACTCGTATGCCCACCGGTCCTATGGGGACGCTGCAGGGCTGAAGCCATGGGCAGTCACCACCTGTGGTCTCCAAAGCAATGAGAACCAAATACCAAAATAACCAGTTACCAGGGCTGTTGAAGAAAAGACTCTTAAAGGGATTAGGATTCTAATGAGATCAGTTGTTTGAATCCTACCTCTGAGTCACCTAGAGAGTGGAGTCACGAATAAATCTCCTTTGGGATGAAGATAAATAATCTGAAATGGCCTCACTCCTCATCTCCTGGCTGAGAATCAAGAATTGAGCTGAAATAGCCTGACTGGAGTTAGGGGCAGGAATAGCCGTGGGAAGAAGTGGGAGGGGGAAAGGAAGAAATTTTTAAGGGGTAAAGGGCCCAACTGTATCACCCTATGTCAGAGTCAGTTGTGGACCTGTCTGCTCAGCAGGACTGAGAGCTGGCAGAGGGCAGGGGCATATCATCTCCCCACCATCCCACTCCCCACTGACGCCCTGTCCCCAGCCCTGGGACTATGCCAGGTGCTTGAAAGATGTTCAACCAATGACTGCTGCCCGTAGTGTCATGTATGCAATCTTCTAATTACATTAAACACAAACATATTTCCAAACATCCTCCTCACACCTTTCAAATATCTCACCTCCTTACCTTCTTGTTATTTCTCATATATTTGGGGGACCCATATATGAATTACTCATAAAAAGACACTCCACTGCCTGAACTATGATTCTTCTTTTCAATTTAGTCCCATTCCCAGTGTGGAGAAGCTGCTCAATAAATATGTTTTGAATAAAATTGAGCTAAATAAAGAAAGTGGGTTTGATAGTTCCTTGACTGCTCAGTTTCTCTCCGAATGAATAAAGTTTGCAGATACTTCAATTAGGAGATCAAAAGCCTACATTAAGTCTACCCCTAACCTGTGTGAGGTCATGGAGACCTCACAACGCCAGAGTCCCATTCTCCCCATTAATTCAAGAAGCAAATTCTCTCAAACCTATTGATATTTTGAAAACACTGCAAGAAAGAGGCTAAATGGTGTGGCGGCATTATGTTTACTCACCAGCCAGTCTGTCTGCTCTCTCCATCCTGAATTCTTGTGCCATTTCACCATCTGCAGGGAAAAGAGGTATCTCCAGGAGAAATTGGCAGGTAACAGGGGTAACCCGTTCTTTCCCGCATGTTCTCTGTGGCTGCTGGTTGGCCGTGACCTGAAGCCAGTGCAGGTTTAATTCCGTCTGCTCCTTTCTTCCTTCCCCTCTCCACACTCCTTATTCCTTCAGAAACAGGTAGCCTTGCGCCTTTGACTTTACACTGCTGGGGTGTAGACCACAGTGCATTTCTCAGGCACGAACAAATCCCAGAGTGGATCGTGGAGGCGATGCTCTGGTCTGGACACCCTGGAACAACGTCACTTCATTCGGAGGCCTCAGAAGGTGTGGTACTGTGTCTGTAGATCTTTCCCGAGTCACCTCCATTTATATCTCGCAGGACACTCAGCAGGGCGGCCCACTCTTCTGTCCATCAATTCAGGTTGCCTTGGCTGCTTCTCGGCTTTGCGTTCTCCAGGTTCACTCATTTGAAGACATACTAGCTTTGTCTGATCAGCTTGGCCCCAAGTGATTCTGACGATTCCCCCCAGGTTCCCTCCTTGCCTCTTCTTGATGTTCTTATCTCTTTTATGAAACACAACTCTTCCTGTTTCCGTCTCTCCCCATTTCTCTGATCTCTCTGCATTGTATGCAAATTCTACTTTTGCTGTCTCTCTCTCTCTCTCTCTCTCTCTCTCTCTCTCTCTCGTTGACCCATCTTTGAATCTTCTCTTATTTAGAATCTAAACATTCTGCTTTGACTAAAGCCTCCACAAGGCTACGCTGGCCAGTCAGTAGATGAGACCAAAGAGCTTGGAGAGTGCCACTGGCATTTAGCTCCTGCTCCTACCTGGGTGGGGAGGAAGCCAGGACTGAGGAAACAGCTCCTTGCTGGAAAGCCAGTGCTTTAGAGCAGGCTGATAAGAGTTGGGGGCAGGAGTCCTGTGCTGTTCCCTACCAGTGAATGCTCCTCAGTCAGACTCACAGGCCTTTCCACATGTCCCCAGCCTGGATGAAGCGAGACTGGAGCTGCCTACTGACTGCCGCCACCTAGCCTTGTGCCCTTCCTCCGGAGAGTCTCGGTGATGCCTGCCAGAGGACCCACCCATTTCTCCCCCTTTAATTGCCGTGGAGGCAAACAAAGAAATTTTGATTTTATTATATGTCTGGGGCTTCTTTGTAGCACAGTGTGGCTTTTCATCTGGATGGCATTATAATAAGTGGTGATAATGGCCTTGGAGAGGGTAGATGAAGAGCATACTGAGACTCAAGCAGAGCGTTGCATGAATACTATCATGAAAGCTTGATGGGGAGAAGGACTCCAATAAGATGTCAATAAAACTACCGCTATGGCTGGTGGCCAAAGCCACAGTGAGGTTGGGGCGCTGATACCTGAGACGCAGGTGGGACCCAGTGGTGCCTATAATTATGCAACTTTTATATATGCAGAACTTTGGCCACCCCTTCCTCAGACCTTCTCGTGCCTTCCTTCATCCCCCAAATCAATCCCAAATGACTCCAAGCTTGCCTTGCAAAATCCCCTGTTTACGCTGTGTCTCAGCATTTTCTGTCCTGGTGCCCAGGTCCTTGGATTCAATTACATGACCACAGAGACCTCCTTGGTACGTTTTCACCTTTGGTTCTCAAACCAGCTTGCACATAACCCAGCAAGGCTGAGAATGGGAAGCGCAGGACAGGATATGGTGCATCTTCTCGGTGTGTCAATTTCACCTTGAGAATTGGGCAAAACGTTAGAAAGTTTAACTGGAAACCTTAATGTGATTTTTCATGTTAAAGCCAACATGAGTATATTATGGAATATAAGGTCAATTCACGTGAAGTTTTAAGATCAGCTTCAAAGTTTTCATGCTTGAGGAGGCCCCTTGGGGCTATCTCCTGACTTTCCCAATTACCCGCCCACTCTGTTCTAATGCTATGGACACTTAGGTGAAAAATTTTGACAAGCACTTCCTTATTCCTTTCCCTCAGACCTGCCTCCAGATCCTTTTCCTAGGTAGTTTCAATGCATTTATATAGATCTCTCAGCTTGCATTTTTTCAGCTCTCTTTTGAAATGATCTCTTCCTCCAGAACCTTCCCTGTTCTCAAACTATTTATCAAAACCCCTACCTTTAAAATTTCTCTAAAATATTTTTAAGTGATATACAGGAGGCATTACACAAACAACTGTCCATCCTTCTCAGCCACGGCCCAAGTCAATCCTTATCCACCTCAAGGCTTCCAAGGCTTGGGACGCTACATCATTGAAGGATCCTTCTCTCAAAGCAGATGGGAAGAGAGTCCGCTGCTGCCCACTTAATGCAACTTCTTCCTTGACTCAGTCCCAGTCCCTTCCTAGAAATGCCAGGGGGCCAGGAGATGAGTTTGATCGTGGGTTTACAGGATCAGGTGGCACAAAGCAATGTCATTGGATGGACGAACTCCCAATTAACAAGGGCAGATCCTTGGGCTAGACTGTGTGGGCTCTTTGAAGGTCTACCACGAAACTCTGATTTCATGGGTGTACAGCCTCAAGAGGAGTCCTGACTTAGCAAGAAGCCCAAGTAAAGAATTTTATGGGACAGGGGACTCTTCTGAGGAAGGCATATAACAGACTTAAGGGAAGGGCGTTTGAAAGCCAGTGAAGAAGTAAAAAGAAAAAAGACATTAAATACCACGTCCACACCCTCTGTGGAGGGGGTATAAATGCTCCCCAGAGGCAGGAGGCCCACAAGCTCCTGGGACAACTTGGACTCTGTCTTCAGCTGAGACCCTTGCTCCCTCCAGCACCATGCCTTACAACTGCATCCTGCCCAACCTGAGCTGCCGCTCCAGCTTCTCCGCCCGGCCCTGCGTGCCCCCCAGCTGTCGCAGCTGCACCCTGCCCGGGGCCTGCAACATCCCTGCCAACGTGGGCAGCTGCAGCTGGTTCTGCGAGGGCTCCTTCAACAGCAGCGAGAAGGAGACCATGCAGTTCCTGAACGACCGCCTGGCCAGCTACCTGGAGAAGGTGCGCCAGCTGGAGCGGGAGAACGCGGAGCTGGAGAGCCGCATCCGGGAGCGGAGCCAGCAGCAGGAGCCGGAAGTGTGCCCCAACTACCAGTCCTACTTCCGCACCATCGAGGAGCTCCAGCAGAAGGTGAGGGGCCTTGCTGTCATCTGTAAGCAAGGGAAGTTTGCTATGACTCTCAATCTGTGATAGAGAACCGTGTTTCTTGCTTCTATGCCATCATGATTCTTGCTTCTCCTTTTTACCTTAAAAATAGCTTTTAAAGCCTTTTAAAAGAAGTTGATGGTTTCATACTTATTTTCAATCCTCGCTAAGCAACACCTCATTCCCCAGATCCTGTGCACCAAGTCTGAGAACGCAAGGCTGGTGGTGCAGATTGATAACGCCAAGCTGGCCGCAGATGACTTCAGAACCAAGTGAGTTGTTCAGAATTCACACTGGTGTCCACTCTTTTTTTTAAATCTCTAGTTAAAGAAAAGGGATTTCCATAGCTTTACTGAACAACACTTCAATCCGTTGGTTGTGAAGGATCCTGCAGAGATGGAGAGGAACCAAGAAAAGGAATAAAAAATAGATGAGGACTCAAATCAATCTGTATTTTTGGATCAACATTTTGTCTTGATTGACTCTCCAGAATGCTCTGTCTATTCATTGCAGAAAGTGGGAAGACAAGGTGAATGGGGTTAGAAAAGGTCATTCCTGTGAGTCTCGAAGGTCTGCCATTACTGCTCTGACCCTATCCTTGCGCAGGTATGAGACGGAGCTGGGCTTGCGGCAGCTGGTGGAGTCGGACATCAACGGCCTGCGCAGGATCCTGGATGAGCTGACCCTGTGCAAGGCTGACCTGGAGGCCCAGGTAGAGTCCCTGAAGGAGGAGCTGCTCTGCCTCAAGAGGAACCATGAGGAGGTGAGACCAGAAATGAGAAATGAAGAAACCCGATTCAGTGTCAGGCTGAGGGTGGCTTTAGTCTTTGGAGTGGCAGAATCAGGAGTACCAGGCTGAAGGTGACTTTATAAATTTCCTTGAAAAACACCAAAACTTCATGATGAAAGAAAAATACTGAGAGATGAAACCTATCCTTGTTCCCAGATAAGATATATCTTTCATTCAAAACTGGTGCATCATTTGAGTTTCCCAGGGGACCTCCATCGGCTTGTGATTGGTTACTGAGTTGTAGACTGAGTCTCAGCATCAATCTAATCAGGCTGTGCAAAGTAATTTCTCTCCCCCAAAGACCAAAAAAATCAAGTCTGGTAAATCTGAGTCTCTTTCAAAGTCTTGGTGAAGAGTGATCTGAGGCTTCTTCTCTCACCTGGGTGGGGCCCTGACACGATCTTCTTACTTGATGGCAAGAATTGTTTGATATACAATATGAAATTGTACAGCCAATTCATTGTATTATGAGGTTATCTGCAGCCAGTCTGCAAATTAGGAAATTTGAGTATTAGTCCGTCCTTCAGTGGCATCCATGCAAATCCTTGGGAATTTTTTTCTGAAGTCAAGTGTCATGGCACAGTCATGGTGTGGAGGGAGCTGGGTCACATGGAACGCAGACCACTTTGCCTTGAGTTGTCACAGATTGCTGCACTACAAGTTTCTTTTCTGAGAAAATAGACTAACAGGGCTTCAACAAGCAATGCCATTTCTTAGAGTCCACTCTTCATTAAGGATAGTCACTCTTGCACTTTCTGCATCCACAGGAAGTCAACACCCTGCGTAGCCAGCTTGGAGACCGCCTCAACATCGAGGTGGACGCGGCCCCCACCGTGGACCTGAACCGTGTGCTCAACGAGACCAGGAGTCAGTATGAGGCCCTGGTGGAGACCAACCGCAGGGACGTGGAGGAATGGTTCACCACCCAGGTGGGCATCTCAGCACGTGGTCGCTCAGGACCCGAGGCCCCGTGGGGCCCTTTAGGCAGG